GCACCCCCTACCTCCTCTACCCTTCCTCCCATGCAGGCTCGCTTTCCACGCCCTGCACCCTATACAACTCCTTCCTACCTTCTTCCTACTCCCGCGGTTGCTGCGACCTCTTCTACCGCAGCACCCTCGCAGCCTGCCGCTGTTGCCACCACCGCTCCCCCATGCGGCCCGGGCGCGCAGTCAGATGCACCCCTTTCTCCAAGACCTGCGTCGACTTACTCAGCCGTGGTACAGACCTCCGCTCCTCGATCCCCTCACCACCAAAACGGTGGCGCACCACTCATTCGTTTGTCAGAAATTGCCTTGTATGACGGTACAGGCATACGCGTGTCTCAGTGGCTGCAGTCTGCCACCCGCACACTCCAGCTCGTGGGCGCCACACCCGAGACGTGGGTGGGTCACCTCTCCACGCGCCTGTGTGGCGATCCTTTCGAGGCCTGGGAGGATTTCTATGCCTACTCCCTTTGTGAGGGTCGGACTCCGACCTTCCTGGATTTCCAAGCGTTCCTCGAGGATCGCTTCGGAGCCCGATACGACGTGACTGACGCCTTCGAGCGTGTTGTCACTACACGCTGGTGTGGCTGTGGTCGCGCTGCCGGCCTGGATCGCCACATCCAGGTCTTTCAAGACGCCCGCCTCGTTTGCGACGTGGCGTTCCTTCCCGAGGCTGTTCTTATCGATCGTTTATTGGCCAACCTTCCGCTCGAGTACCGCTCCGAGCTATGGCGGTACGAGTTCACATCGGCCCCACAGGCTTACGAGGCCGCCAGGGACCACCAGCGGATGCGAGCCCGTCTTCACCCGCCTCCTCCTCCCAGCCCCAGCGCACGGGCTACGCCTCCTCCTCCTCTCACGGCACTTCCCAGCGCGGCTCCCCTTTCCGCGGTCGCCCCCGCCGTTCCACGCAGCAGGGCCGCCACGTCTCGCGCCGCTTCAACGCGCTGGAGTAGGGTGAGCAGGACGCTGTTGCCCCACTGTCACCTGAGGGCGACCACAGCGACGACCTCGATCTCTACGAGGCCGTTCACTATCACTTGGAGGACTCGACCCTCCCTGCAGCTGAGTGCCTTCAGCTCGCGCTCTCCGCCCTCTCTCGGGCGCACAGCCGCCCCGGTCACGCTGGCGCGTCACCCCCCGAGGTCCCTCAGGAGGACCTCCCTCAGGGCTTCATCCCTCCTCGCGGTGTCCTTTCCGCTGAGGAGCGCGCGGCTATTCTGGGCCGACGTGGGTGTTTGCGCTGCCGCTTGGATGGTCATACCTCCTCGCGGTGCCCTCACACTACCGCCCTCGACCGCCACTACGCTGATCTTTCTCGTCAGCGTCGTGCTCAGTCCCCCCCCGGCGCCTCACGTCCCTGCGGCGCCTTCTAGCCATGGTGCAGTGTACACTTGCGCCCTCCTCAGTAGTGGGTTTCCCGACATCTCCGTCGCGGTTCGCCCCTCTCGCTACTGGAGTTGAGGTATCGCAGGACTCGACAGAGTGTACTCAGCCCTCTGTCACAGTTCCGTCTGCGCCTCCGCAGACCACCGTCTCCCCTCCTTCCCTGCCTCGACTACAGACGCGTCGAGCCATTCGCTCAGCCCGTTGCAGTGAGCAGCTTGCTACTCGCGAGGACCTTGTGTCCTCTCTTCTGGACTTGAGCATGCTCCAGGCTCGTCAGGAGCGACTCACCCTCCATGTCGCTGCACTGCGTCGCCTTCTCGCCATCCTCTTTGACCCTGATCGCACCCTCCCGATCATCCCAGTACGACTCAAGACCTCTACGAGGGTGTACTCAGCGCTGTGGGATTCCGGTTCTTAGGGCGACTTCATTCACCTACGCGTGGTGAAGGAAACCCGCTTACCCACGACAGCGTCTCCGACTCCCATCTCCGTTACCCTAAGGGATGACAAGACCCAGCGCTTCTTCGATCAGACGGTCACCGACCTCCCCTTCTTCCTCACTCTCGAGCCGACTGATCGTTCCCCGGCGTCTCGTCGCCACCGCTGCTCTGCACATTTCGATGTGATGGAGACGGGGTACGACTTCATTCTCGGCACTCCATGGTCTCGTCGGTTCCGCAGCACCGAGGCTGATTGGGCGACCAACACTCTCACTCTCAAAACGAAGTGTGGACAGACGTATCGCGTACCTTTCATAGGTACCACGGCGACACCACGCCCCGATCCTCCTCCCCCGGAGCCTTCAGTGCCCACACCATCTCCCTCTATCACTGCCACCTCGCCTCGGCAGTTCGCTCACTTCATTCGACAGGACGACGTCACCTTCTTTATGGTGGACGTGACCTATCTCTTACACTATGATCCACCCTGTCCCGACGCCGAGCTCATTCCTCTGGAGCCAGATCCTCCCTCTATCCCCATGACTCCCATCTCTACTTCCGTCCCTCCGCCGTCCGTCGAGTCCACCCCGCCGTCGCGCATTGACGCTGACGTTGAGGAACTCGCACGATATACGGCTGACCTGGAGCCCGCAGTTTGTAACCTCATCCGTGAGTACCACGACGTTTTCCCATCGTCGTTCTCGTACGTCGGCATCCCACCGATGCGTGACGTCAAGCACTCCATTCAACTTGTGCCTGACTATCGTGTTCACCACAAGGCACCCTACAGACTCTCAATTCCCGAGACCACCGAACTCAAGCGTCAGCTTGAGGAACTCCTGAGACTGGGTTTCATTAAACCCAGCAACTCCCCGTGGGGTGCACCCGTCCTCTTTACTCGCAAAGCGGATGGAACTCTCCGTCTCTGCATCGACTATCGCGGTCGCAACCCAAGTTTCTTTGCAAAAATACATCTCTCGTTGCAGCTTTACAGGTCCCGGTAGTTTCATAGCAAGACTATTTGGGGAGTCAATGGGGACAGTGTCCCACTTTCGTTGCAAAAATACATCTTTCTTTCGGACCCCGACAAGATTTCCGCAGGGAAACCTGGAAAACACGCTATTTCTGCCATTACACCTCTATTAACTTATAATTGATCGAAAGTTATGCAAGATTTATAAACATCATGACAGGTCGGTGTACAATATAACGGAAAAAAAAAACTCCACGTGATTCCCTCATACTTGTGTCTTGTTGACACAACTTGACAGGTGTCTAGCCATACCTGCTAGTAGGCTGCTACACCAAAGCCAGCGTTACAGCCATTCCCCAGCTCCAGCGGCTCCGCTATTGCAAATTTGCAATCAACTAATGTAAACGACTCTCTGAAAGCTCCATCTTGTTGCCACTGCTTGCCAGGCGCAGACCCCCTGCCCTTTGAGCGAAAGGCCAGCGGCGCCGACCACCGGGTTTAGCAGACTGTATAGCTCAGTTGGCACACCCATGAACTGCTGAAAAAAAAAAAACTGTTGGGCCTGTTCAAGTCACAATCGGCTCAGATGAGTAAAAGAATTCGCCATTTTTACACTGTGGCAAAGGTCAGTTGGACGTTGACATCGCACGGCCGTCGCGCTTTCCTAAACAGGAAAAAAAAAGGAAAGTGTGGGTGATCCACTGATCCATGAACACTTACGGTCTCGCTCCACTACTCTAGTGTCACTCTAGAAAATCTTCTAGAGTTGATCTAGGGTTCTCAGAGTCTATCCTCTAGAATCCTCTCTATGTCCAAAGCCAACGACGGCAACTAAGAAAACGTGTATCCGTGAGTCCTGGCAGTTTTTTTTTTTTTTTTTTTAAATATCCTCAAGAATCCTCTCTATGGCCAAAGTCACGTCTTTGATGTCTGGCCTTTCTTGCTCGTTCTCGATCACACAACGGGAAGCTACGCGTAGCATATCTCTTGCGATTTTGGTCATCACAGGATGGTTCAATTCCCCTCGAATAGAAGGATCAACAACCTCCTCCATATCGACTTCATCCGGACGGTCTAAGTGSTTCCTCTGGTCATCAACAAGGCGTCGGCCGTGAATTACCGCAGGTCTCCCCGTGAGCAATTCCAACACCAGAACTCCAAAGCCGTAGACGTCGATCTTCCTTGACAGCTTTCCCCGCCSCAGGTACTCGGGCGCCAAGTAGCCAGGCGTTCCGTACAACAGGTAATGCCGTACAGTCTTGGCTTTCGTTAGCAGACTATCGTCGAGCACTCTGGCCAAACCGAAATCCGCTAGGCATGCCTTCAACTCTCTCCCACTTCCTCCTTCCAACAACACGTTTCGGCTCTTTACATCCCCATGAATAATATGCKGATTAGCCTCGTCATGAAGGTAACGAAGAGCCGTGGCAATCTGTAGGGCAACCACAACACGCTCTTCCAGAGTAAGCGGCGAGCGACGTCTGTTCACGGCGTCTCCACCTCCTCCTCCTCCTCCTCCTTCTCCTCCTCCTCCTGCCTGATGTATTTCTTCCCCTCCGGCTTTTCCTCTTCCTCCTCCTCCTCCTCCTTCTACTTCTCCTCCTTCTACTACTACTCTCTCTTCTCGCTCTTCCCTCCTGTCGTTCTTGTCGTTCTTCCGTCGATCTTCACGTCCTACAGATAGTCTATCATATAAGCTCCCTCCCTCCTTGTACTCGTATACTAAAATGCGACGACTCTCTGCTACGCAGAAGCCATTCAGTTTGCAAATGTTGGGGTGAYGTACCTGACTGAGAATGCTRACCTCTGCTTTAAATTGCTTTTCCTTTTTGTTCTTCAGCGGCAGTTCCATGTCCTTCACCGCCACCGACACCTCCCCCGCACGGKCATCCTCGCCCGACAGGGATCCCCAGTAGACCGTGCCGAAGCCTCCAGCACGTCCAAGTTGCCGATCTTTGTGGAAATCGTTCGTCGCTGAAATTAAGGTCTCCAAACGAAACTTTCTGAGTACGGTGAGTGTGTCATAATAGCGCATAAGGACCGCTTGGGCGTGCTGTCGCCATAAATAATAAACAAGACCCACCAAACATACAAATAAAAAAACAGCGCTGCCTACGGTTACATATCGACGGATGCTCGAGACTTTTCCATCTGGCGTGGAAGAAGGGCGAGAAGGAGGAGAGGCGGAGAAAGTGGATCGAATGTCGGGGTTAGGGTTTGGAGAAAGGGGGTCTGAGAAGGTTCCAAAATTGCTGAGCTCGAGAGCTGACCTTATTGATGCTGAGATGGAACACTTGTCCGTCATCCGTACCTATAAGGAGGGCAAGACGCCCGCGGTCATTTCGAATGGCCAACCCATTCAAGCCGGATCCAGGGCGGAGCAGGTACTTAGTGATCTCGGTGACTCTGCGCCCTCCTCCACATGGAGCGTCGAGCTCAATGAGCTTCACAAGACCTGTGTCTCTCTCCGAAACGAAGATCATCAGACCGTCCTCCGTCACGGCGAGGTCGTACAGCTTTCCGAACGACACGTTCAAAGCATTCGACATCTCTATCTTGCTACTACTACTGCTACCGTTTGCGCTGCTGCTGCTGTAATTACTAGTACTGCTCCGTGCTATCTACGGCGAAGGGTTGGGGGTTAATCCCCTTCCCGCGACAAGATTTGACCACATTCGACGAACGATTGAGTGCCCAGACGCTGCCGCCGGGATTGCGATCGACGAAGTACAAGCACCTGCCATCGCTAGGAAAACTGTAAGGTCCAAAGTAAATGGATGCCGTCTCCCACTCGAGAAAGTGATCGAACCAGAAGAAAGCGGAGGGTGAGAAATAGGAGGATCCCTGCTGCTGCCGTAGATCTCCGTTCTCATCGAGGGAAAGGGGAAGAGAGAAGATCCGCAAAGGAGGCACCAAGCCATTGGTGACGACTAGCTTCGTCAGGTTGGGATTGATCGCGATGCCGCCGGCGAATTCCACGTTCAGCAGCGGGACGGAAACCCTTTCCCCGGTCTCCGTACTGAGGGTGGTCAGCCAGGATCGCGGCGGAGTCGAATCGTAGTATCCCGACAAGATCAATTGCGATCCCGACATCGAGACAGCCATCCCCGTCACGAGGTTCATGAGCTTCGTGCAGCCGGAGTCCAGGCACGTGAAGTTGAGCAGACGGGATCCCGGCCCATCAGACCCGGGCCACCAGGTGGTTATCAGCCTACCCTCCACAACTTGCGTGCCAAACTCTGACTCGTACAACGACAATCGCCGCCTGCTTGTGCTCTCCGTCGAGCACATCTGATCGAGGATGTAAAAGAACTGTGTGCCTTTCAGGTGCAAGACGATGTTGCGCGCCACCGACAGGCACTCCATAGCCGTCTCGTTGGAAGCTTTGACGAACGGGGCTGTGACCTCATACTTGATGAGGGTAGTGCAAGACACAAGGGAGTCGTTGAGAATCTTCAAACCAACACAACTGTTGGGCGATTGAAGTACTCTCTTCTCTTCTCGAATTCCGTGGTGACGTCCTTGTCCTGCTCCAGAACCGACAAAGAGCGCCGATGACTGCGAGAAAGACGACCCGCTGCCGACCGGTCGTCCATCGCCCATGAGCAATAACGAAAGCAAGACCAGCATCGCCGTCGTCGTTGACGTGCGGATGAGTCGGGATGGAAAACTACACACAGCTCTAACACAACTCGAATCGCTGCCCGCACTGACCCAGCAGAGGCTCGCCGCCATCCCTTCGTGACCTAAGCGTCAAGCTACAACAGAAACGACCCGTACGAGAGCCTAGCCTCGTCATACGCTCTTCAACGGATGTTCTGAAGTCAGAATCAAAAAGAATAATATACACTATTCAACGAATGGCCAAAAGTCCGTACAGAAAGAACAATTCTTGCAACGACGAAGAGGATTAAGAAGACAAGTAATTGACGGACTATGCTCCTCTATTACTACCATTATAACTACGAACTTCTTGCTCTCACTCTGTGGCTTTCTCTCCGTCTAGCAGCTTATTACACTCCATTATGCTAACGAAGATCTCGTTCTCTCTCTCTGTCTCTCTCTCTCTCTCTCTCTCTCTCTCTCTCTCTCTCTCTCTCTCTCTCTCTCTCTCTCTCTCT